ATTTTTTGCGTCCAAACCAGTGTCGGGCCCCAACTGTTAAGTTTTTCAAGCTTTTAGACGATGGTGAAAAGAATGTCTTCCTAACGTTATGCAAGCTCCAATGGCTTGGCGTCTTCAGAGGCGATTGCTGCGTTGAGCAACCCACCGCTGAAGATGCCAGCCACTTGTACTGGCGAAACATCAGGGAAAACCTTCCTCCACCATGGTCTAAATCCACCAGGTTTGAAAATGTCCATCGCAGTTGTGGACGAAACGTCAGGAAGAAATTCCGATAGACCACGGCTTCAAAGCCCGGAAAATATTGCTAAATGCCATTGAAAAACATTCAGATATTTTATAAATTCAAAATTAAATGTCCTTTCATGAATCAAGTCACAATTAAAGATGAAAAACCATTTTAAATCTCCCTGTCGGCTCAACCATACCTTGAGGACATTCGCAGAACTCCAGCCAGAGCGCTGGTGAGCCTGCAGCGCCTCTAGCTGCAGTTTCCAGCTTAACATCGTCCAGAAATCCCACTCCTTTCGGACAGTACGTGCCCCTGATCTTGATGGCTGTTAAATTGGTGAGAATCGAAATGAAGTCCCGGGAGTTCAGCCGCGGCTGCCACTGAAAGTCTGGATGTTCGTGCAGCCTGAACTTGAAGATGCGCGACTGCAAAGAAACGTTTCGCTCCGTTCCAGGCTGGATAATCGCAAGCAAACCTGGATGGTGGGCGATCCGTTATCCTGGGCGAAGATGGTGTTGGTAATGCGGTTTCCATTGCTCTCCAGAATGATGTCGGTGGCGGCTGGCATGGCTCGGTTGTCGCCTATTCTGAGCGAAAACTCGAGGAGCTGGTTGTAGGAGGATCTCTGATCGCCTAGGAACCGATCAGGAGCCACAAAGTACACGCATTCGTCGTCTTGCGATTGGACTCCAATACCTGGGAGCAAGTGGAAGAGGGTTGAACATTAAGATTTTTAATTTTGGTTTTTTTCTGTTAGCGGTTTTGGTTTTTCTCGATTTTATTTTTTGTTTCAACAGAATAAAGCTGTTTGTTGCTGATGTTTGCCAGCATTTTTTGCGTCCTTTTGCGTGCTTTTATAGTCGACTTTTCCCGGCAGTTAATCAATGCTCGAAATGATGCACAAAATGGAAAACAACAGTAGGAAAATGGACGAAAAAATTGACAGAATGAATGAAAAAATGGAAGACAACAAGAAAGTGATGAAAGAAATGAGATTTAAAATAGACGACAAAGCTCAGAAATTTGAAGACCTGAAAACAACCGTTGAAGGCAAACTAAAGAACATCGAGGAAGTGCCTGATGATATGGAAAACACTGAAATCGTGGACATTCCTGCAGCAGTGGAAGAGCCAGACGACAAAAATCCAGTAGTTAAAGAGCCGAAAGTGGATCGAGAAGCTGGTGTTGTCGAGATCACAAATGAACAAATTGCTCAGGAGCATTTAGAGGAAATTCAGGTGGAGCCCGAAGCGGCTAGTTCTGATCAGAAACTGTCCTTAGATGGGGAAATAACTGATTCAGTAGCCTCTGAAGGAGATGATGTGGCTAAAACTGATAACTCTTGTGAAAACTTACCAGGTATTATGCTATGAAAAGTAACTGTTTCAACAGAGGAAAACTCTCAAGTGGCGAAAGAAGTTGACTCCGTGGAAGATACATTAACAGTCCAATTTAATTAAAATCGCTACTGAAGTTGAGCAATTTTCCGACTCAGAACTTCTCATGAACTGGACCGAGATGCTGGTTCTGTTTCAACGCTGCAGCGCAAACATCAGAACTTCATGCAAGACCTGCAGACGCTTCAGAACCAAGTGCAACAGATCCAAGAGGATTTCGAAGTTAGTTTGTTCCTGTTCCGCATTTAAAGTTACACCAAGAGGTGAATAAAAGTTGGAAGCTGAAGAAAGAGTTTGATACCCGGCCATCCACGGCACAATATTCATATTCGCTTACTCTGGCTGATGGCTTCATACTTGATCGGCACAATCCTGAAGAACTGATCCTCTGCGCGCCATTTTTCCTGGCCCTTGGAGAAGCTGGACTCCAACGCATACTTCGAGTATCCTGCAAGGAAATTGATGAGTTTTCCGATCGCATTTTCTCCTGCAGCATCGAATACCCATAGCGGAACGGCACTGCGATGAATGGCCATAGCAGAAGCACGGCGTGCATCCGAACTCGTTGTCCAGATCCAGATTGAAAAATCCCGGTTTGCACTCCATGCACTGTTTGCCTTCGACGTTGTCTTTGCAGACGCAAACGCCACTCTCCGGATGGCAATTCGGGCTGTTGAAGGCGGACCCTTCTTGGGAGCATTCGCAGCTTTTGCAGCCCGACTTCGAGAAGTCGTAGTAGTTTTCTCCGCACCTGGAAAGCGCAAGAAAAGGCAAATTTGGAGCCAATTAAGCAACGACAACATCGGCAAAAATGAGAAGGTTTTTGCACTAAAATCGGTGCCGTTTTAGTGAAAACTTGCAATTACTTGTCGCATTTATCGCCTGTTACGCCCGGTTGACATCGGCATTTTCCCTCCGAGTTGCATTGCTGATAAACTGAACCGGTCTGATCACATTTGCATGGCACGCAATAACCATCCTCTCTCATGTAGTAGTTGGGGCGGCATCTTTCGCAATTTGGTCCATCCCTGTTCGCCGCACAGTCCAAACAGTAGCCTCCATGGCCTGTTTGTTCGTATAACTTCGCATCGAACACGCATCGACTTGAATAACCGTTGCAGTTGCATTCTGCAACAGGAAAAA